CCCAAGACGGCACAAGAGCCCTGCAAGAGTGACCGACGTGACCTCAAGATGACCCAAGAGGCCTCCAGGACGGCCCCAAAAAGGCCTCCCAGAGCACTCCCAAGAAGGCCCCAAGAGGCAAAAATCATGCTTATTTTCTGAATTTTGTGATTCTCCTCCTTTCGGCTTCCCGACGCTCCAAGACGGCGGTCTTCTGGGCGTCCGAAGCCGCCTGTCAGGCTCCCAAATCGCCCCACAACCATCCGAGAGGCTTCCAGGGAGTCCAAGAGAGCCCCAAAACTGCACAACAGGGGTCCAAGACGGCCCTCAGAGAGCCCCATGGCGCCCCAAAATGGTCCCAAGACACCCTCCAAAGCATTCCAAATCGTGACCTGGTCGCTCAGGGAGACCGCGGTTGGAGGCAGGGTGGCCCGAGGAAGCCCCCAGAGGCCCCCAGAATATGCCCAGGAGGCCTCCAGAAGGCCTTAAGAAAGCCTGAAACAACTTTTGTGAGGCCCCCAGAGGCTCTCCAAGGAGGAACCTCCGCAAAGAAGAGCCGAGGAGGATGGGGAGAATGCGCAGGGTATGGCGAAAAGGAAGAATTATCCCGGCAAAGCAACCTAACAGCGATGTGTAGGAGCATATCTGGAAGCATTCCCCTTAAGATTCAAATGAGAACCCAGTTGTAGAATTCTGCTGTTCTCGCAGTCGTAGTCGCATTCGCGATGACAGTCGCAGCGGCAACGGCAGTCGCAGTCACAGCCTCAGCCTAAGTCTGCCTCAGCCTCAGCCTCAGCCTGCCTCAGCCTCAGCCTCAGCCTGCTTCAGCCTCAGCCTCAGTCAGCCTTCAGCCTCGGCCTCAGCCTCAGCCTGCCTCAGCCTCACCCTGCATCAGCCTCAGCCTCAGCCTCAGCCTGCATCAGCCTCAGCCAGCCTCAGCCTCAGCCTCAGCCTCAGCCTCAGCCTCAGCCTCAGCCTCAGCCTCAGCCTCAGCCTGCCTCAGCCTCAGCCTCAGCCTCAGCCTCAGCCTCAGCCTCAGCCTCAGCCTCAGCCTCAGCCTCAGCCTCAGCCTCAGCCTCAGCCTCAGCCTCAGCCTGCCTCAGCCTCAGCAGCAGCCTCAGCCTCAGCCTCAGCCTCAGCCTGCCTCAGCCTCAGCCTGCATCAGCCTCAGCCTCAGCCTCAGCCTGCCTCAGCATCAGCCTGCCTCAGCCTCAGCCTCAGCCTGCCTCAGCCTCAGCCTCAGCCTGCTTCAGCCTCAGCCTCAGTCTGCCTTCAGCCTCGGCCTCAGCCTCAGCCTGCCTCAGCCTGCATCAGCCTCAGCCTCAGCCTCAGCCTGCCTCAGCATCAGCCTGCCTCAGCCTCAGCCTCAGCCTGCCTCAGCCTCAGCCTCAGCCTGCTTCAGCCTCAGCCTCAGTCTGCCTTCAGCCTCGGCCTCAGCCTCAGCCTGCCTCAGCCTCAGCCTGCATCAGCCTCAGCCTCAGCCTCAGCCTGCCTCAGCATCAGCCTGCCTCAGCCTCAGCCTCAGCCTCAGCCTCAGCCTCAGCCTCAGCCTGCCTTCAGCCTCAGCCTCAGTCTGCCTTCAGCCTCGGCCTCAGCCTCAGCCTGCCTCAGCCTCAGCCTGCATCAGCCTCAGCCTCAGCCTCAGCCTGCCTCAGCATCAGCCTGCCTCAGCCTCAGCCTCAGCCTGCCTCAGCCTCAGCCTCAGCCTGCTTCAGCCTCAGCCTCAGTCTGCCTTCAGCCTCGGCCTCAGCCTCAGCCTGCCTCAGCCTCAGCCTGCATCAGCCTCAGCCTCAGCCTCAGCCTGCCTCAGCATCAGCCTGCCTCAGCCTCAGCCTCAGCCTGCCTCAGCCTCAGCCTCAGCCTCAGCCTCAGCCTGCTTCAGCCTCAGCCTCAGTCGGCCTTCAGCCTCGGCCTCAGCCTCAGCCTGCCTCAGCCTCAGCCTGCCTCAGCCTCAGCATCAGCCTGCCTCAGCATTCAAAATGTGGCCCGGGAATTGAATTCTGGGAACTCGAAGAACACGAAGTGGCCTACAGCTGGCCCCGGGCATTCAAAATGTAGCCCGGGAATGGGGTTCTGGGAACTCGAAGACCACGAAGTGGCCTACAGTTGGCTCCGGGCATCCAAAATGTGGCCCGGGAGTGGAGTTCTGGGAACTCGACGAACACGAAATGGCCTACAGTTGGCTCCGGGCATTCAAAATGTGGCCCGGGAATTGAGATCTGGGAAATCGAAAAACACGAAGTGGCCTACGGTTGGCTCCGAGCATCCAAAATGTAGCCAAGGGAATAAAGTTCTGGGAACTCGAAGACCACGAAGTGGCTTACAGTTGGCTCTGGGCATCCAATATGTAGCCCGGGAATGGAGTTCTGGGAAGTCGAAGAGCACGAAGTGGCCTACAGTTGGCTCCGAATATTCAAAATGTGACCCGGGAATGGAGTTCTGGGAGGTCGAAGAGCACGAAGTGTGTGACCGCTTGCTTAAAACGAGCCCGGCCCTGAGCCCGGCCCTCGCTGTCCGGATGCCGCCCAAACCTCCCTTCTGAGTCAACAGATGCTTTCTTTTGACACCACTAGAAACCTATGAGTCTTTGCTGTTAAGTAAAAACTACTACTACTACTACTACTACTACTACTACTACTACTACTACTACTACTACTACTACTACTACTACTACGACTACGACTACGACTACGACTACGACTACGACTACGACTACGACTACGACTACGACTACGACTACGACTACGACTACGACTACGACTACGACTACGACTACGACTACGACTACGACTACTACTACTACTACTACTACTACTACTACTACTACTACTACTACTACTACTACTACTACTACTACTACTACTACTACTACTACTACTACTACTACTACTACTACTCTACGAGTAGAAGGGAGAAGGGAAAGGACGGAGAGGGAAGGCTCGGAGACCCTTGGAAGGGGGGATGTGCCCATCCGAGGGAACGGTGCACCCCCCCCTCCCCGTCGTCAACTCGAAGGAACCAGCCATGGCAACGACCCCCCTCCTATCCCCCTCCGCGACCTGAGTAGACCACCCAGGCCAGCGGAGGACGTCATAGGAGGCAAGGGTTCTGACGTCGATGAGAGGAAGAAAAAGGAGGAGCGAGTAGAAGGAGGAGGAGAGGCGTACGAGTACTACTACGACTACAATGGCGTGTTCTCCACAATGCGTCCCGGGAGTGGAATTCTGGGAGGTGGAAGAGCAGGAAGTGGCGTGCAGTTGGCTCCGGGCATCCAAAATGTGCGCCAGGAGTGGCAGGAGTTTCGGCGATGGCGTTCGGGGCAGTCGAAGAGCACGAAGTGGCCTACAGTTGGCTCCGGGCAGTCAAAATGTAGCCCGGGAATGGTGTTCTGGGAAATCGAAGAGCACGAAGTGGCCTACAGTTGGCTCTGGGCATTCAGAATGTGGCCCGGGAAGGGCGTTCTGGGAAGTCGAAGAGCACGAAGTGGCCTACAGTTGGCTCCGGGCATTCAGAATGTGGCCCGGGAATGGTGTTTTGAGAACTCGAAGAGCACGAAGTGTGTGACTGTTGCGTCCGGTTATTCAAAATGTAGCCCGGGAATGGAGTTCTGGGAGGTCGAAGAGCACGAAGTGTGTGACTGTTTGCGAAAAACGAGCCCGGTTCGTCCGCCCGGCGTCCGCCCGGCAGCTCGCCGACATCCGCCCAGACATCCCTGTGGAGTAAGCTGCTGCCCTCTTTTGATCCTACTAGAAACCTATCAGTCTACGCTGTTAGGTAAAAAGAAGCATGGAGGAAGGATGAGGAAAAACATTATTATAGCGGCGATGCCAGAAAAGGCAACAAGGAGATATCGCTAAATTCTCGGCTTGACCTTCTTGCTATTCCCACGGCATGCCAAATTTCAAAGACCGAGGTGCATGGCGCGAAGCGCCACTGCAGTCTTGTATATATATATATATGTATATACACATATATAGATGCATGTAGATGTTCAGCTGCGCACACCTACAGACACGCACATGCACGCACACAAACACCCATACACACACCTACACACAAACACGCACGCAGACAAACACACACACACACACACTCATAAATGTGATGGGAGTGATGGAGTACTGCACCATGTTCGAAATGTCGTCAGCCCTTCTTGGCCCCCTCTTCGTCTCTTCGGGCGGGAACGGGCGGTGAACGCGAAACGTCTCGAATAACCGTGATTTCGACACTTTCAAACTTCGTGCTAGGCGAGCAAGTCGCAAAACCCTGAAGAGGTTGATGTAAAAGCTCGGCGCGGTACCAATCGCATCAAGAAAGGTGGCCACCACCGTCGCAGTAATTGTGACGCAATCGAAGAAATTCCACCACCTCTGACTCCCACGGTAAAATTTCACCTAACACGCAAAGATGGCATAACCATAAACCTTCGACGTTCCGCGCAGATTTCTTGGATCTGCAGTGGACCCCTCTCCCTGGCGCGCAGGGCGCGCGGGCGCGCCAGGCGCGGCGCCGGAGGCGCCGCCAGGGGGTCCACCGCAGCCAAAAAAAACCGCGCGGAACGTCGAACGTTCATGTTTATGTCATTTGTTCTTCTTCGAAGAATGTCACCTGGTATGCGAAAACCCGGGTTATGAGCTCACTGACGAAGATCAGTGCGAACGCCACATCTCCAATCAACCAACTCCTCTTGGCACTCTCCGCGCTATTCGGGTCATCCCGGGTGCTGCGCATGACCATCCAGGTCTGGGTTCCCATATAGACCGCGTTGAGAACAATCACAGACGCCATGGCGTAATCGAAGTTGTGGTTGCGAACCCACTTCAACTTTGCCTTCAACTGTTTCGCGCCCCTGAATCCAAAGTAGGTCATCTTGGGTGACCGCTTCTCCAGGTGTTTCTGCATGAGCTCCGCGGTGATCTTCCTGTTGGACTCGGACGTCCCCGTGTCCATGCCGAAGTGTTCCTTCAGCGCCTTGCTGCCGCCGAACCTCTGGGAAATCTCCCTGGAGACAGCGCTGGAGGTCACCGACGCCCTCGCCGACTGCACCTCCTCGGCGACGCTGGCCTCCTTCAAGGGAGGAGGAGGCGGAGGAGGAGGAGGAGGTGAAGGAGGAGGAGGAGGAGGAATACTGATAATTATGTTTCCCCTGCTGGAGGCACTCGGCCAGGGACCATCTTAGCTACACATGTCTTCCGCATAGTGTTTAGGCCTGTCTTGCTTCAGATCAGGCAAGCCATCTCTGATCTCGAGGCGGAGGTTCGCCATGTCTTGCCAGCTCCAGGCTTGAGATATGCGCTTCACAGAAGGACAGGGAACGTTCGCAGGCAGACTTATGTTTCGTTGGTGACTTGACCGTCTCTCTCGTTGTGCACGATGTTCGTGACATGCCACGCGTTACTCTTGCTATCTCAGAGGCGGTGTATGCAACATGCCTCACACACTGCCTCCGGCCCAACACTACTAGAACGAAACTCCGGCTTTTCTTCGAGGCACAGGCTCTGGGAGCGTTCCTGGCTCTTCTTCCAAGGACATTTCGGCGGCTTCCTCGTCCAAGTGGTTGTTTTCTTTCCCTGTGTCTCTCAGGTCCATTAAATCTTAGGTTATTCGAACCGAACCTGCCGATCGAAACCGGCCCGAACGGTCAACCCGAACCGGTACAACCGAACCGGCCTGCCAAAGATGCCTCCAGGACGGCCCAAGAGGGCCCCGAGGCGGGCCCCGTAAAGTTCCAGCGGCCGACGGCTCCAGGAAGGCTCCGGGCGTCAGGACGGCCCAAGAAGGCCCCAGAGGCTCCCCAGAGAGCTCCGAGACGCCCCTGGACGGATGCTTCAACAGAGGGGTGCGTTGTAGCATCCGTTGGGGCCCTGTCAGGACCCCAACGAAACGGACCCCAACGAAACGGCCCAAGAGAGCTCCGCCAGGGCGCTCCCGGAGGGCCCCATGATGAGGGCCCCCTCCCCAGAAAGCTCGGAGGCGGCCCCTCGACGGAAGGCCTCGGCGAGCCGCTTTTGGGCCTCCGGACCTGAGGTCCGGATGACCTGGGACTCGGACCTGAGGTCCGGACCTGATGCCTGGACCTGAGGTCCCGACCTGGACTTCAGACCCCCGTGCGCCTCGAGAAAGCGGACCCCGGACCCCTCGCGGCTCGAGGGAGGGCGACCTGGCCCCCGGACCCCCACGGGCCCCTCGGCCCCTGCAGGATCCCATCGGCCCGCGCGGCCCGACAACGATGGCGGCGGCTGGGCGGCCATGCGGCGGCGGCCGCCGGCGACGAGGCAGCGAAGCACCTTGGCACATGACGCCGTCGGGGAAGGCAGTCGGGAACGCTGCCAGCGTCGCCGCCATCGCTCGTCCCCCTCCCCGTGCTCGTGTTTTTTTTTTGTTTTGGGGGGGGGGTCGATCCGCGGCCGCAACGCGCAACGCCTGTAACGCACTGCGCGCCATCCTTTCGATCGCCCGAACAAGACCGCCCGACACCGAACCGTCCCGAGGCAAAACCGAACAAGCTCAAATCGAACTGGCACCGAACCCGAACCGCTACAACAGAACCAGCCCGCTGCCGAACCGACCCGAACCTGCCCGAACCGGCCCCGTTCTACTATGCCACGAGTGTTTGGCAGGCTCTATCAGTGCTACAGAGTCGCCAGATGACCACGATGCACACAGCTGTGTCCAGATCGGCGCTCAACGTGGCCAGTACCAACAATAGAAGCGAACACGACATGACAGCACAGGTTCTGTTTGCCGCGTAAGGTTGTTATGCCAATTTCGAGATTGCGTTCTCTTGCTCGCATGTGGGCTCATTCCCCGCCTATCATTCAGGTCTTGTTGGACCTCACATGAGGGGGGTGCGCGTTTGGGCCCAGTTCCTTGCTGGGGATGCTGAATGGTTGTGGTTTCGCACAGAACCAGCGAAGAGGCCAGAAGATCTGTCGGCGGCTGGTTTGGTCCAGCTCGTGCCTGCTCATGGCCGTCGTTTCAGGTCTGTTCTTGCTGCGACCATCCAGCACGCCAAGCCATACGAGCGAAACGTCCAGCATATCATGTTATGGGAACGAGAGCTGCGGATAGCAGCAGCAGGTGCACCAATCGGACAGGAGGTGGCACCTGACACATTGATTACCTGCCCATTCCTCCCCCTCCTCCTCCTCCTTCTCCTCCC